GCGCAGCGCAGGCCGACGCCAAGTTCCGCCGGGTGGCGCGCATCACGGTGTGCGGCAAGACGGCGCTGGCCAAGGAGGTCTTCGGCGAGACGCTCAACGAGAGCCGCGACCCGGACCGGCCGCCGGAGCGCTACACGGCCCGCTACTACCTCAAGTTCAACTTCCTCGAGCAGGCCTTCGACCGGCTCAGCGAGGCGGGCTTCCGCATGGCCGCCTGCTCCTCTTCCGCCGGGTGGCGCGCATCACGGTGTGCGGCAAGACGGCGCTGGCCAAGGAGGTCTTCGGCGAGACGCTCAACGAGAGCCGCGACCCGGACCGGCCGCCGGAGCGCTACACGGCCCGCTACTACCTCAAGTTCAACTTCCTCGAGCAGGCCTTCGACCGGCTCAGCGAGGCGGGCTTCCGCATGGCCGCCTGCTCCTCCACCGGCACCTGCGCCTTCGCCCCCGAGCAGGGCGGGCCGGCCGACGACAAGATCTGGACCAGCTACACCGAGTACGTCTTTTGCCGGGAGTGAGGAGGGCGCCCCAGAGGCCGGCCCGCGCGGCGCCCCCTCAACCGAGGACGGACACGGTCAAGGCGGCGGGGGTGGTGGTGATGGTGGTTGGTTTCCTCCAGGCGTGCCACGACCCTCGCTTGCAGGGGAGCTGCTTGCCCAATAAGGGCAGGCCGGGCGGCAGGGTAGACGGAGCTGCACCTCTCGGACTTCTGCCTACTTCCACTGCAGCAAGAGAGTCTTGGCCAGCAGGGGGGAAAGGGCAACCACAGGGCTCCCCCCCCCCAACACATCTAAGAGCTGCAGAAAAGGGAAACCTGCACGGGGTGCGCTTTTCCCTCTTTGCAACTCTTAGAGGAACAGAGGTACCTCCTCCCCCGCAGGTAATATTACTCCAGCATTCGCAAACAGGGAGTGCCTCCCCTTATCCTGATTCCTCCTAAACATTTCTACTTGCCCTGGGGTTGTCTTTCAGGACCTCTCTCTGGTCCCTCATTTGGTTTTCCCCTTGTACCTCCCAAAATGCCTTCTATACACAGCTCTTAATTTTACTTTAATTTTATCTAAAATTATTTTTCATTTTACAGCTACTTTATTCCGCTCTAAGGACATAATGCAGCTTCCCCCCCCCCTTTTGTTTTGTTTTGTTGTAAGTATCATCTAGAGTGGCTCAGTGTGCATAGATCTTCCAGAGCAGTGGTTCTTAACCTTTGTTACTCGGATGCTTTTCAACTGCAACTCCCAGAAACTCCAGTCAGCACAGCTGGTGGTGAAGGCTTCTGGGAGTTGCAGTCCAAAACTCCTGAGTAACCCAAGGTTAAGAACCAGTGTTCTAGAGGGTCTCCTTTGCTTATTCCTGTGTGGGCTGCTCCCTAAAGGGCTGCAGGCCTCGTCTTTGGCCTAGTTAACCTGCCCCTCAGATACGAGCTGTTCTAGAATTGCCCACCAGATAGATGCTCTTCTAACTTCCAAGTTTCATGAGCTGGTTTCCTCCCCCCCCCCAGTTCCTTGGATTGCCCTGGTGAATGAATTCCATGTCTTGCAAGTGGTCTCTTTGATGGTATAAAATGGGTGGGCACTTCTGGTCCAGCTGATGTTTGTGAATTTCCGTTCCCATAATCCCTCACCATGGACTGCATTGGCAAGGGCTGGTGAGAATTGTTGGGGTGGAATATGTAGAAAGCTACAGTGCCCTGCCCTCTTTTAATGCAAGGGTGAGAAACAGCCCGAATGCTGGAATCAAACTTCCATTGTCCCCAGCCATGGATGATGGGATTGGTAGTCTGCCAGTACGTGGAGGTCCAGAGGTATCCCAAGGTGTAATGAATCCTTCCTTCCTTGACAAGATAACTGTGATCCTGCTTGCACCAGGCCCCTGCTTCCCAGCCTTTTGTTTCCTTCTGTGTAACAGTGAGGGGGCTGCTGTTTGAGTGGTTCCATTTCTTCTTTCCCAGTTTCCACGAAGCACTGCCTTCCTTGGAGAACAGCTTCTTGCTGTTTACAGCCATGTTGGAGAGGATATTTCCTAGTGATGCTCAGTCTTGTGCACTCTAATGTGGGTGAGATTGGTGGAATGGAACGGGGCTTTTTGTGGTAAGATCATTTTGTCCCTGCTCCTCATCCCACCTCTTTCCCCCCTTTTGAGAGAAACATTTGGAAATGTATTCAGGGGCCTCCTGCGTCATTACATTTCTCTACCTGCTCTGCCATTTCCCAAGCTTCCCTCTTCAAATCTCTTGAACTTACGAACTTAAGCAAAGCTGGTGTCAAAGGACAGCCATCAAAACAAGTATTATTGGTTTTGTAAACCACTTGAAGGGTTGGAGCCTTCTCACAGAAACTGGTCTTTTCAAAGATACAAAGCAACTGTGCTTTGAAAATGGAAAGTATTTTCATGCCGTAGTTCTCAAAAGAGTTTGGTAGCAAAGAAAAAAAAAGGTTAATAAAACTTCCCATATTAGTGATACTTTTGTGTGTGTGTATAGGGGGAAAATCTGTTGCTAGATTTTTTAAAAAATATATCAAAAGTGATCTGCTGGACTGGCTGAGGTGTTGAGGTGGGGCACTTATTCACTTATTATTTGCATGAATAGGATATCTGGTGAGAGGAATTGTGTGGCTGCACCTTTAGCTCATTCCCCCAAGTGATGTTGTTCTTTTCTGGTTGACAGTTCCATAGTAGAGAGCTTCCTGGATTTATAGGAAGCTTCCTGCATGATTTGGAACAGGGCTGGGTGGACAACCGAGATCTTCCTGACATTTTTTTTTTGACTGGAATTCCCATTATTCCTTCCCACAGGCAATGTTATTTAGGACTAGTGGGAATTGTAGACCAAAAAAACAAAACAAAAAGCAAAAACAAACAAACAAAATCAAACGCCAACCATCTGGAGACCTTGGCCGTGCAAGGTTCTAAATTGTACAGGAGCTTTCACAAGAGGGGCAGGCCTCTCTTGAGACGATATTGGTGAGGCAGTTAAACTTACACCTCTGCTTTTCCTCTTTACACCAAAGATGCCATATTCACACAAGTAAGGCATGAACAGGGTGCACAAGTGCTTAAGGTACTGAGTGAGACTGTGGATTAGTAGTTCCCACTGGTGGTTGTTTACAGCGGTCTCATGTGCCCTGGTCTGAATTCTTATGATTAAGCATTCTTGTTTTAAGAGTCTGCTGTTGGTTTTCCTCTCCCCCTTGAGCAAAAAAAATAAAATAAATGGTGGTAATAAATTTGCTAGCTAGGCTGTGCTGTTAAATAAGAAGTCTGGATGTTCTCAGTAGAGTTTTGGCTCTCTCTGTAAATGCCCAGGAGTACATTTAGTTCTGTTATAGCATGGCCCATTCATCTTTACCCCTGAGGTGATGGTTAGTCCTTTTGAGACAATATCTCTGCACTGGAGATTACACCATCAGAATTCTGTACTAAAGTCAACATGTACATAGAAATTGCCTGACAGCTTCTCCATAGATGTATGAGCACAAAGTAGAAGCATAAGTGTTTTGAGCACATTAACAAAGAAGCACAAATTATATATACTACTATTTGGCTGGATGAAGGTGCTGATTTTTTCTTCTTTGTTAATGCATTTCTTGACTGCAAAATATTGTCTGCTGCTGGTTTCCAAGGCTTACATGATCCAGTAGTGCTTCAAATTATATACATTGAAACACAACAGTTTCAGTACTGAAAATTAATTTCAAACTATGTCTTGTTTCTTGGGTTCAGAGCTATACGCACTTAGCATCTATCCAGTATTAATTCAAAGTATGGAGTTCTGCTATTTGAATGCAAGAGATAATCTTGAATGCCAGTGTTTGCCTCTTCGTGGGTAGGAGTTTGTCATGCCATGGATTAGGCACTACTCATGTGAGGAGAAAACAATCCTTGCAAAGTCAAAGATTCATGCACTCCCCCCCTTCCTCTTATTCCCTTTTGATTGGGGGGGAAGAGGAATCGTCCAGGATTCTATTTCACTTTGCCTAATTTGTGTCTTGTTGTCATGCAAACTAGCAACTGTACTTTAAAGTAACTCCTTGCCATGAAATAGCTGAGCAAGCCAGTTATTAACTTGGTTTTGTTTAGGTGTTTTATTTCACAAGTTGGTGTTGATCTTCAAGCATATAGGTGGGTTCAGTGTAAAAGCAAGTCATACGGTGGGCAAAGTGAAATTGAATATAGTCTATTAATTTTTCCAGCTGTGTAGGAAGCAGAGAGGAGCTGGATGAGCACACATTCTCCCTGCTTTGTGGGGCTACGATGTCCTCATACATGTAATGTTGAACTGTGGTTTCACATCACATGTGAAATGCAACCAAAGAGTGAGACTTTTCTCTTTCAGTAAAATTTGTGGCCGCAGCTGAAACCATTCATCTCACATCCTTCTAAAGCTATTATAAGGAATTCATCCACAGGCTTGAACATCCCATGTCCATAGAAGAGCATTTCCTATTTTTCCTCGGTGGGAAGTCATGTTGAAATGACGTATTTTTTTTCAAAAGGAGCATGAGAGAGAGAGAAAGCGAGAGAGAGAGAGAGAGAGAGAAAGCATGTGAGTGTGTGCTTTTACATAAGGGCAAGCAATAAGTAAGCAGTGGAAAGCTGATGGGTCAGAAGAGAGAAACTCCTCTGGTTGTCCTATGCCTTACTCTGTAATAATTCCATTGTGCATACTTTAGCTGTGCTGCAGGTGGAGAGTCTATGAATTGCAATTAAATATTTAAAATGTCATTCCTGGAGAGTCAGTCTTTTCTAGTTTGTGTTGAGTAATTCTCTCTCAAATATGTTTTCTAAAATTTTGTAAAAGATCCAGTTTTCAGTAAGTGCTTAAATTAGTTCTAACTTGTTTTATTTTTCCTCTTTGTTTTTTTTATCTTGTACTGTAGCTTACTAAGCCTATCATAAGAGTTACGAATAGGGATGGGTTTAAATTGAATTTGTGACTTAGCATGTACATAAAATGTATAAACATTTTACACGGATCATTTAGTTTTTTATTCATTTATTAGTGCTATACAGATTTTCATATGCTGTATCTGAACAAGCAGAGTTCTTTCATATTATGCTGTGTTCTTGTACTTATTTATATGGAAAATTTTGAGTACGAATATCAGCAAAACTATAGAATTATGTTTGTCTACACTTCTTTGCTTGAATGTGAATGAATAGCTAAATTTCCTGATGGCTAAAGTGCCGCCCTCAAATTGAGACTCATGTATTTTGATTAGTGAATGTTTATTTGTTAGCAGACGTACTTTAAAACTCCTATTATTTTTTAAATAAGAATAAGTATAATAAAACAAAGTGAACTAATAATTTTTGTTGTGTTTTGTGTTACTAAAATTATATTGGTGGACAGTTGTTTTGTTTTTCATTAGCAGGTGAATTGCTGAGAATACATCCGCCTTGAATTTTAGCAAAACAACTCCCTCCCTTCTCCCACTTGGATGATTTGTGAAGTGACACATCTGAATGATCACTTAGGGCCTCAAACATATGCAAGCTTGAATATAGATCTATTGTTCATGAAAAGTATATGTGATTCACCCATCAACCAAAAAAGGCACCTAAAATGACTGAACAAAAAACAACAGTTAGACAGTCTTTGCCCTCAGGCCAACAGTTCAGAGACACAAGACAGAAGGAAATGGATTGGCAGGAATGAGGAAAAATGGTTGATTTGGGAGGTTGATTTGGGCTGTGTCCAGGTACAACATTCACTCCTGTAAAAGCCATTAATTTATTGCTGATCGTTTCAGTATTTTTCTCACACTCCAAAAAATGGAAGTCTTCATCAATTTATTCAGTGCTCTTTTCTTTGCTTTTCTGTCCTATGAAGTTAGTTTATTTTGATCTGTGAATGTTTATTTGTTAGCAGACGTACTTCACACTCTTCATCAATTTATTCAGTGCTCTTTTCTTTGCTTTTCTGTCCTATGAAGTTAGTTTATTTTGATCTAGGATCTAACAGGATTGGGGCCGGCTGAGAGTTTAGCATCATATTCCACTATGGAGGATTCGCTTCTCTCCAGATTGAGATAGTTTTGGCATTTTATCATTAAGAAATAGCAAAGTTCAGCAGGGAAATGGACTTCTAGCCAGGGTTTCAAAGAACTGATGGGTACAAAGTGGCTTCTAGAGATGTGGATCTTCAAAATTCAACATTGATACAATTCCCAGGAAGCTCCATGACCAGCTTGCAGAAACTGGGAACAATGATAGTTTTCCTTGGGGATACCAGGGATGAGATCAACTGGAGCTTGTGTA